AATAACGGGCCTAACAGTGTAATAACGGCCCTAACAGTGTAATAACGGACCTAACAGTGTAATAACGGCCCTAACAGTGTAATAACGGACCTAACAGTGTAATAACGGGCCTAACAGTGTAATAACGGCCCTAACAGTGTAATAACGGACCTAACAGTGTAATAACGGCCCTAACAGTGTAAAGGACTGCAAAAAATATATATTCTAATATATTCTACATGACTAAAATGTTAAAGAATATATTCTATGTGGCTAAAATGTTCTAGAATATATTCTACTTGACTAACATGTTCTAGAATATATTCTACATGACTAAAAATGTTCTAGAATATATTCTACATGGCTAAAAAGGTTCTAGAATATATTCTATGTGGCTAAATATGGTCTAGAATATATTCTATGTGGCTAAATATGTTCTAAAAAATATTCTATGTAGCTACATGACTACAGCAACACTCTAGAATATATTCCACATGAATAAAAGTGTTCTAGAATATATTCTATGTGACTAAATATGTTCTATGTAGCTACATGACTACAGCAACATTCTAGAATATATTCTACATGACTAAAATGTTCTAGAATATATTCTATGTGACTAAATATATTCTATGTAGCTACATGACAACAGCAACATTCTAGAATATATTCTACATGACTAAAATGTTCTAGAATATATTCTATGTGACTAAATATATTCTATGTAGCTACATGACAACAGCAACATTCTAGAATATATTCTACATGACTAAAATGTTCTAGAATATATTCTACATGGCTAAAATGTTCTAGAATATATTCTATGTGGCTAAAAAGGTTCTAGAATATATTCTATGTGACTAAATATGTTCTATGTAGCTACATGACTACAGCAACATTCTAGAATATATTCTACATGACTAAAATGTTCTAGAATATATTCTATGTGACTAAATATATTCTATGTAGCTACATGACAACAGCAACATTCTAGAATATATTCTACATGACTAAAATGTTCTAGAATATATTCTACATGGCTAAAATGTTCTAGAATATATTCTATGTGGCTAAAAATGTTCTAGAATATATTCTATGTGACTAAATATGTTCTATGTAGCTACATGACTACAGCAACATTCTAGAATATATTCTACATGACTAAAATGTTCTAGAATATATTCTATGTGACTAAATATATTCTATGTAGCTACATGACAACAGCAACATTCTAGAATATATTCTACATGACTAAAATGTTCTAGAATATATTCTACATGGCTAAAATGTTCTAGAATATATTCTATGTGGCTAAAAAGGTTCTAGAATATATTCTACATGGCTAAAAAGGTTCTAGAATATATTCTATGTGGCTAAATATGTTCTAGAATATATTCTATGTGGCTAAATATGTTCTAAAATATATTCTATGTAGCTACATGACTACAGCAACATTCTAGAATATATTCCACAAGACTAAAAGTGTTCTAGAATATATTCTATGTGACTAAATATGTTCTAGAATATATTCTATGTAGCTACATGACTACAGCAACACTCTAGAATATATTCCACAAGACTAAAAGTGTTCTAGAATATATTCTATGTGACTAAATATGTTCTAGAATATATTCTATGTAGCTACATGACTACAGCAACATTCTAGAATATATTCTACATGGCTAAAAATGTTCTAGAATATATTCTACATGGCTAAAAATGTTCTAGAATATAATTTTATGTGGCTAAATAAGTTCTAGAATATATTCTATGTGGTTAAATATGTTCTAGAATATATTCTATGTAGCTACATGACTACAGCAACATTCTAGAATATATTCTACATGGCTTAATAATTAATTACATTCACACTACATTAACATTCTGTGTGGGCAGGTTTGAGTGTGCACTTCTGACCTTTTTGGTTGTTTTGACATCAAAAAATGACAAAAAAAGCAGAAATCTAAAGGGTGTTCACGTCTCATGGACTAATTTCTGAACCAACATTAAAAACAGTTTAAAACATTAAAATCTTCTGTTTCATTATGAAAAACTGAGAAGAGGATATAGTGGTCAAACAACGTTGGGGCGCCAAAACCTTTGCATACGACTGTAACTATGATCAACCTGATCACTCAATAAATTTCCAATAATGTCAGAACTTGCCTGATAATGTAATACAGTTAGAACGCCTTGATCTCATTACTGGGTTGTATAAAGTCATTAAAAGAAAACACAGTGGCTCCTTAACTGTGAGGTCAGGAGGGATTAATAACGGATTAATTAATAACGTCTCTGATATCGAGATATGACTCATTTGTTTTCTCAGCATGAAAGAAAAACTGTCCCATTCATTTAACCTTTACAAGGCACAGTATGTCCACTAAAACAGATGAACTACAAGATAAATAATAAATAATATATTCTACTTAATTAAAATGTTCTAGTATACATTCTACATGTTCTAGAATATATTCTACATGACTAAATATGTTCCAGAATATATTCAGCATAACTAAATATGTTCTAGAATATATTCTACAGGACTAAAATGTTCTAGAATATATTCTATGTGACTAAATATATTCTATGTAGCTACATGACAACAGCAACATTCTAGAATATATTCTACATGACTAAAATGTTCTAGAATATATTCTACATGGCTAAAATGTTCTAGAATATATTCTATGTGGCTAAAAAGGTTCTAGAATATATTCTACATGGCTAAAAAGGTTCTAGAATATATTCTATGTGGCTAAATATGTTCTAGAATATATTCTATGTGGCTAAATATGTTCTAAAATATATTCTATGTAGCTACATGACTACAGCAACATTCTAGAATATATTCCACAAGACTAAAAGTGTTCTAGAATATATTCTATGTGACTAAATATGTTCTAGAATATATTCTATGTAGCTACATGACTACAGCAACACTCTAGAATATATTCCACAAGACTAAAAGTGTTCTAGAATATATTCTATGTGACTAAATATGTTCTAGAATATATTCTATGTAGCTACATGACTACAGCAACATTCTAGAATATATTCTACATGGCTAAAATGTTCTAGAATATATTCTACATGGCTAAAAATGTTCTAGAATATAATTTTATGTGGCTAAATAAGTTCTAGAATATATTCTATGTGGTTAAATATGTTCTAGAATATATTCTATGTAGCTACATGACTACAGCAACATTCTAGAATATATTCTACATGGCTTAATAATTAATTACATTCACACTACATTAACATTCTGTGTGGGCAGGTTTGAGTGTGCACTTCTGACCTTTTTGGTTGTTTTGACATCAAAAAATGACAAAAAAAGCAGAAATCTAAAGGGTGTTCACGTCTCATGGACTAATTTCTGAACCAACATTAAAAACAGTTTAAAACATTAAAATCTTCTGTTTCATTATGAAAAACTGAGAAGAGGATATAGTGGTCAAACAACGTTGGGGCGCCAAAACCTTTGCATACGACTGTAACTATGATCAACCTGATCACTCAATAAATTTCCAATAATGTCAGAACTTGCCTGATAATGTAATACAGTTAGAACGCCTTGATCTCATTACTGGGTTGTATAAAGTCATTAAAAGAAAACACAGTGGCTCCTTAACTGTGAGGTCAGGAGGGATTAATAACGGATTAATTAATAACGTCTCTGATATCGAGATATGACTCATTTGTTTTCTCAGCATGAAAGAAAAACTGTCCCATTCATTTAACCTTTACAAGGCACAGTATGTCCACTAAAACAGATGAACTACAAGATAAATAATAAATAATATATTCTACTTAATTAAAATGTTCTAGTATACATTCTACATGTTCTAGAATATATTCTACATGACTAAATATGTTCCAGAATATATTCAGCATAACTAAATATGTTCTAGAATATATTCTACAGGACTACAAATGTTCTAGAATATGAGGACAAGATACTAATGTGTGTGTGGCCACGACTTGTGGGAACGTGGGAACGAGAATATGCATGAATTTATGACCGCAAATTCCCGGAGGGATGGAGCACTACTCCAGGATAGACTATTCCAGCTCTTACTCCAATTATAAACCTTCATTAAACAGTATTCACCTCATTTACCCCCTGAACTCCAGCCTTACTATTCAGTTATTCATCTTCAGATTCTTAATTATGCACAAACAGCTCGTAAAATCTCCATAGAAAAGCACTGATCAATGGAACTGCGTTCTCTGGAGTGATGGAGCTCCATCCAATACCTTTGGGATTAGTTGGAGTGATCCAGAACTGACCATCCAACATCAGTACCTGACCTCACTAACACTCAATCAAATCCTCACAGCAATGTTCCAACATCTAGTGTAAAGCCTTCCCAGGAGATTAGAAGCTGTTGCTGCAGCAAAGGTGGGCGGACTCACTATTAAAGGGGAATTCCATCAATTTTTCAAAATTCCTGCACGAGTGTTTGAGAGCAGAGTGATTCAGAGTGGTTTGGTGTGAAATGGTTCAGATGTCTTTACAGCGGTGGTGATAGGAACCAGGGGTCACCATGACTACAACACAGATATAGACATTTTATTTACTATCAGAACCACCAGTGAACCTACACAAGTCTTCTGAGTTTATATGGAATGTTGATGATGGAAAATAGTGGAAAATCTGAAATAATCAGTTTTCTTTGGGGACTATTTTGCCTCACAGCGCCCTGCATGTATCCCTCCACCATGAATGGAGTTTGAGCTCTCAAAACTATCATGATACAGTGTCTCAGTCATCAGGCAGTGAATTCATAACCATTTCATGTAGGAACTTTCTGTGAGGAGCTTTTAGAGGTGGACGTCTGGTTCCTATCACCACCACTGTGAACAATTCTGACTCTGTAAGTTTCTCTAGAACGGAGCATTTCACACCAAACCACTCTGAACTATGTAATTACGCAGAAATACTGAAGAAAAATCAGTGGAACTTTCCTTTAATACCCTTGATTTCAAAAGAAACGACAAACAGGGCCAGACATTACCGCTGAAGTGGCCCTTGGCTCGCAGGTAGCCGACGCTCAGCCTGAGGATGGTCAGTTTATCCAGTTTAGAGATCACATCCTGATGGAAAGGGAGGAGGCCCGCCAGCCGGTCCAGTTCTCCATTCAGCCGGTCCCGGTGCCTCTTGGAGGGGTTGGATTTGACAACTTCGACCGAGGGCGGCTTCACACTACAGGGAGAAAATACATGAATTGAGCGAATTTGTCTATATCTGATTATATAGGCCACAATGTTGGGACTATACAGTTTATATGAAGTATTTACTGTGGTCAAATTAAAGTATCCTGGTCTAATGATTCTATTATGGTTTTACAACTATGTAAAAATACTCAGAGAAGTCCATGAAGCCACCCAGCCCTCTTTATATTTACATAATACTGTAATACTCTGTTAGCTGTGACCCGCCTGTGCAATTGACATAGTAAATATTAGGTAACTGCACACTTATTTGGAAATTAAAGCATAAAACAATGTTTGCAAGCCTGCTACATTTACCTATTTGACTAATGTTACCTTAAATTATTATTAGTTACTAATATTACTATTATTATTGTTATACAAGTCTATAATTAATGGCTATAGGATTACAAATAGCTTATACTAGTTTTCTTGCACTAGCTGCCATTAGTCATTTGAATCTACCATCTCATTTAAAAGGGACCAACTTTTCAAAATGTCTTCATAATTTAGCGGTTGAGATGTAAACAGAGTCATTCCGAGTGGTTTGGTGTGAAACGCTCCGTTCTAAGGAAACTTATGAGTCAGAACTGTTCACAGTGGTGGTGATAGGAACCAGACGTCCACCTCTAAAAGCTCCCTCACAGAAAGTTCCTACATGAAATGGTTATGAATTCACTGCCTGATGACTGAGACACTGTTTTATGATAGTTTAGTAGTAACGTTTTGGCCATTTTAATCCACGTATGTGAATCCACTCATGGTGGAGGGATATACTGGGTGCTGTGAGGCAAAATAGTCCCCAAAAAACTGCACAGAAATCTGAACCGTTTCACACCAAACCACTCTGAATCACTCGGATTACATCTCAACCACTGAAATTCTGCAGAGAATTCTGAAAAATCGGTGGAATTCCCCTTTACTAAGCAAGGAGGCTGAAGTTCTCCCGTTCCACCTTAAATGGTGCACGAAACCGCTGCACCATTTAAGGTGGAACTGGGAAATTCGAAGAAGAAGCCCAAACTCACCCTCGTAGCTGAGTATAACTCTCCCAAAACAGGTGACATTAGTGAGCCAGGCAGGCTAACGTCCAGATAGGTTGATTATAAGCACGACACGTTACTTATTACAACGTTATAACACAACGAATAACAGAAAACAGTCAGGCTAACGTTAGCCAAGCTCTAAAGGGGTTACAATAGTAAAACAGATGTTTAAATACCTTTTCTTAGAAGGTTTCCTCCGTTTGCGACTTGCATAGATGTTGTTGGTGCTCATAGTTTCGTAGTTAGTTGAAAACAAACTGCCGTTAGCTTTAGCTACCGAGAGAGCTAGCCGGCTGATATTTGCGATAAAAATGCTGAGAAATTGAAAATAATAATCCAGAACCGAGCCAGCTATCTTCTGTTATAGTTAACCAGATAATCTGGTGCCATCTGAGGCGAGGAGCTTTCTTCTTTATGCCCATATAAATCCATAATTCAGCGAGATAACTGAGCGATACCCGAGCTAAGCTAACAGTTAGTGAAGCAGCTATTAACCTCCAGCTAACTGCACCGACTAACTGCCTCCGCTCGCTCGCACTCGCAAATTATTAACTACTGTCTGGCCAAATGACCTGTGGTCATTACAGACGGCCTAATCTCGCTGAGGTTGATCTCTCCAGCGCTTCCACTCTCTCAGACTGACCTGTCAGAGCTCCACTCAGACTTTCACTCTGTTTACTCCGAGTGTCAACGCGGCTACGCCCCCTCACGGAGTCCCGTCCCCGCCGCTCACAGCGCATCAGAGTCCCGCTCCTCGGGACTGTTTCGCTTTATCGAGCGGATTGTCACGATACGGAACCTCATTTCCGCCGCTGGAGGAGCAGTTTTAGCCCTTTAATAAGTCATAATAATGAGAAAGTGTTCCATAATTAGGAGAAAGTCATAATCATGACATAGTAAGTCATCACTGTGGGAAAGTAAGCCATAATGATGAGATGCTGCGTCATAATTATGAGAAAGTGAGTAATTATTATGAGATACTACGTCATGAATATGAGATGCCAAGTTATCATCATGAGATAGTATCTCACACCGGATAGTATCTCATAATTTTGACATAGTATCGTATTATACTGGCATAGCATAGTCATTATTTTGAGACGCTATCTCATTATTCTGAAGTACCATCTCATCAGTCCGAGATGCTGAGTCATTATTGAGATGCTAACTCATTATTTTTAGATGCTAAGTCATTATTGAGATGCTATCTCATTATTTTTAGATGCTAAGTCATTATTGAGATGCTATCTCATTATTTTGAGATGCTAGTCATTATATTGAGATGCTATCTCATTATTTTGGGATACTAGTCATTATATTGAGATGCTATCTCATTATTTTGAGATGCTAGTCATTATATTGAGATGCTATCTCATTATTTGGGATACTAGTCATTATATTAAGATGCTATCTCATTATTTTGAGATGCTAGTCATTATATTGAGATGCTATCTCATTATTTTGGGATACTAGTCATTATATTGAGATGCTATCTCATTATTTTGAGATGCTAGTCATTATATTGAGATGCTATCTCATTATTTTGGGATACTAGTCATTATTGAGATGCTATCTCATTATTCTGAGATGCTAAGTAATTATTGAGATGCTATCTCATTTTTTAGGGATACTAGTCATTATATTGAGATGCTATCTCATTATTTTGAGATGGTAGTCATTATTGAGGTACTATCTCATTATTTTGGGATACTAGTCATTATATTGAGATGCTATCTCATTATTTTGGGATACTAGTCATTATATTGAGATGCTATCTCATTATTTTGAGATGCTAGTCATTATTGAGATGCTATCTCATTATTCTGAGATGCTAGTCATTATTGAGATGCTATCTCATTATTCTGAGATGTTAAGTCATTATTGAGATGCTATCTCATTATTTTGAGATGTTAAGTCATTATTGAGATGCTATCTCATTATTCTGAGATGCTAAGTCATTATTGAGATGCTATCTCATTATTCTGAGATGCTAAGTCACTATTTTGAAGTACTATCTCATTATTCTGAGATGCTGTCATTATTGAGATGCTATCTAATTATTCTGAGATGCTAAGTCATTATTGAGATGCTATCTCATTATTTTGAGATGCTAAGTCATTATTGAATGCTATCTCATTATTTTGAGATACTAGTCATTATTTGAGATGCTATCTCATTATTCTGAGATGTTAAGTCATTATTGAGATGCTATCTCATTATTTTGAGATGCTAGTCATTATTGAGATGCTATCTCATTATTTTGAGATGCTAGTCATTATTGAGATGCTATCTCATTATTCTGAGATGCTAAGTCATTATTGAGATGCTATCTCATTATTCTGAGATGTTAAGTCATTATTGAGATGCTATCTCATTATTCTGAGATGCTAAGTCATTATTGAGATGCTATCTCATTATTCTGAGATGCTAAGTCATTATTGAGATGCTGTATATATCTGTATATTTAACTGTTTTTTAAATACACAATATGAAAGTGTGTCTTTTCCATCATGCTGATTTCACTGAGAGAGAACAGTCATTCTAGAGGAATTTCGAGTGATCAAATTGTACAATTTCAAAAATAAATCATCGTGTTTCAGATTTTACTGAAAACAAGTGTTTTTCCACAAATGTGGAACCAGTGTAATATGTTTTTAGCTGACTCAGGGAACACGACCACATCTGTTAGATATTCTAGAATGAAATGCTTCTAATTATGTAAACAGACTGAACGGCTTTTAACATTCTTCCTTATAAACATCTCTGAACATCACATTTTCCCACTGTTTCACATTTACACTGATCAGCCATAACATTATGACACCTCCTTGTTTCTACGCTCATTGTCCATTTTATCAGCTCCACTTACTATATAGGTGCACTTTGTAGTTCTACAGTTACAGACTGTAGTCCATCTGTTTCTCTGATACTTTGTTAGCCCCCTTTTACCCTGTTCTTCAGTGGTCAGGACCCCCATGGACCCTCACAGAGCAGGTACTATTTGGGTGGCGGATCATTCTCAGCACTGCAGTAACACTGATGTGGTGGTGGTGTGTTAGTGTGTGTTGTGCTGGTACGAGTGGATCAGACACAGCAGTGCTGCTGGAGTTTTTAAACACTGTGTCCACTCACTGTCCACTCTATTAGACACTCCTACCTTGTCAGTCCACCTTGTAGATGTAAAGTCAGAGACGATAGCTCATCTGCTGCTGCACAGTTTGTGTTGGTCATCCTCTAGTCCCTTCATCAGTGGTCACAGGATGCTGCCCACAGGACGCTGTCAGCTGGATATTTTTGGTTGGTGGACTATTCTCAGTCCAGCAGCGACACTGAGGTGTTTAAAAACTCCAGCAGCACTGCTGTGTCTGATCCACTCAGACCAGCGCAACACACGCTACATGTGTATATGTGTGTGTGTGTGTCCAAAAGTATTGGGTTACGCATTTTCTCAGTTTTTAGCCACTCATGCTAACACTGCATGCATCCCATGGTCACTAAAAATGGTCATGAAAAAATAAACAGTTTTTGTTTTTGTTTAATGGTGATAAAGAGTTCTATTATGTCAGCCTCGCAGCTCCAGTGCTAAAACTAAATAAGGAAACTTCAGACACCGCACGTGTCTTGGCTGATCGGCCACATTTGGGGTAAATTTTTCATTTTTTGGTGAACCACTCCTTTAAAACAGCCGGAACCGAATCAATGCTTTTCCTCTGGCGCCACCTGGTGTTCACTGTGAGGCATTTCATCCCGTATAGTCTGAACACAGAGAGCGTCTCTGCTGTGAGAAACAGGCAGATAAGAGTTTCATTCTGCGTCCAAAAAGATGGTTCTTCAAGGGTTCTTTAACTAATGGCTCTGTTTAGAACCATGAGTACTCAAAGCCATATGCATGCTTAACTGGTTTCTGCATGGCGAAATGGTTCTTCAGATTGATGGCAAATGTGCTGTAGAACCTTTTGGAAATGATCCTGGGTTCTACTATTGTTAAGATGCCAAGATAATAACAATAGCAGAACCCTTTTGTTGGTGCTATATAGAACATTTCAAAAAGGTTCTATCTAGAACCATATACAACACATTCTCCATCAATCTGAAGAACCATGTCACCATGCAGAGAACCCTTTAGTCATGCAAATGGTTCTATATACACTCTTTAAAAAGACGGTTCTTCAGTGGTTCTTTATTAAAGACAATGGTCCTACATATAACCATGAACTTTCAAAGAACTATTTGCATGAACCCTAAAGAACCCTTAAAGAACCATATTCTTTAAAGGTGTATGTAAAACCATTTGCATGATTAAAGGGTTCTTTGCATGGTGAAATCATGTTGGAATGGATTGATGGAGAATGTGTTGTAGAACCTTTTTGAAAATGGTCCTGGGTTCCGCTATTGTTAAGATGTCAAGTGTGTAACAATAGCGGAACCCGTTTTGTGGGTGCCATGTAGAGCCATTTCAAAAAGGTTCTATATAGAACCATCTACAACACATCCTCCATCAATCTATCTATATAGAACCATCATGCAAATGGTTCTATATACACTCCTAAAATGGTTCTTCAAGGGTTCTTTAGCAAAGGAAATAGTTCCATTTAGAACCATGAGCACTCAAAGAACCATTTGCATGCTTCAATGCTTCTTTGCATGCTGAAAAGGTTCTTCAGACTGATGAAGCATGTGTTGTATATGGTACCTTGAAAATGGTTCCATATAGCACTAAAAGGGGTTCCGCTATCGTCACAGTCTTGACATTGTAACAATAGCCGAACCCTTTTTGACGCGTTCTCCATCAATCTGAAGAACCATTTCACCATGCAGAGAACCAATTAAGTGTGCAAGAACGCCCTTAGAAATAGACAGGCTGTTTATGTAGCTGTACCTTTAAGACTGATTTATGCAAATGAGGTCTGTTCTGATAGGCTGTGCCTCATTCACGAAGCAGCCCAGGCTTAAACACTCCTTATAATTTCAGTATGAATATGAGTGGGAGGGGCTAAACTGCTGTAGGCTGAATAGGTGGGTACTTGTATATGTGTGACATCACAAAAACCCAATTAAATTCAAAACCCCATTAAATTTTTTGCAGTTTACTTTCTGTACTTGGACTGTATGGACTCAGGAGTGGACGGCGTACAAAAAAAACACTTCTTTCTCCAGGGTATATTTTGGTTTGTCCATCTGAATTTTCATGACCAAATCATAAGGCAAAATATTCAGTAACTGCATGAAATAAATGTAAATTTTAATTTATTTATTTTTGTAAAAGCTCCCCTCAGATTAACAGAACAGTGTTTTATGATACACATATTGCTATATGCTTATAATTTACTGCTGAAAGCCAAAAATCTTAGACGCTCTTTGTATAATTTTATAAAAATAATTTTAACAGAGCAGATCACTGAAGAGACGCCGTCTGTTTATAGTTTATAGCCCAGATTTGTGGAAAAGTTCAGCTTATTTTATTATAAAGGTTTATATTACATCACCCATCTATTTGACTGGAAAGAAGACAGTTACAGCTCTCATACGACCCCCACCTTTAGAATGTAGCTTATGAAATATGAAAGTTATGAAGAATATGACGAAGTGTGTTTTGGAACCACCGGTGGTCTCAAGGAGTTGAAGAGGTTAATAAAATCGAGGAGATTTTGTTTTTCTGTGATGAGGCCCTTTAAAGTGAACTTGCCAATTCACTTTATTTGTCCAAACATTTTGATCAATATCAGTGAATGCTGAAATAATTAGGGAACTATTTGTTGTGGGCTCTGTTCAAATGGAATACAGTGTCCTTTCCTATCTGCGTGCTTTGGCTTTGCCTGATCTGTAGCTCAGGGCCTCACTGGATATATTAGCAGAGCTGGATCCGCAAGGTTGCCAGATCAGGCAAAAACAAGAAAAGTGGAGTGTCATTGATGATAAATTTCCAACAACGGCATTAACGGCATTTTCTTGTTTTGAAAATGGATTGCAAAAAGTAATACAAATCACAGCAGCTTTACAATGGCCAGTGTTTTAATCATATGATCATCAGCTGACGAATATTAAAGGGCAATTCTGCAGAATTTTCTAAATTTCTGCCTAGTTCAGTGTGTGAGGTGTAAACAGAGTGATTCAGAGTGGTTTGGTGTGAAATGGTTCAGATGTCTTTACAGTGGTGGTGATAGGAACCAGGGGTCACCATGACTACAACACAAATATAGACATTTTATTTACTATCCAGAACCACCAGTGAACCTACACGAGTCTTCTGAGTTTATAGGGAATGTTGATGATGGAAAATAGTGGAAAATCTGAAATAATAAGTTTTCTTTGGGGACTATTTTGCCTCACAGCGCCCTGCCTTTTATGTATCCCTCCACCATGAACGGAGTTTTATAAAATACTTTTTAAGCCCGAAACCTTCTCAAAACAGTGTCTCAGTCATCAGGCAGTGAATTCATAACCATTTCATCTAATAACTTTCTGTGAGGGAGCTTTTAGAGGTGGACGTCTGGTTCCTATCACCACCACTTTGAACAGTTCTGACTCGGTAAGTTTCTCTAGAACGGAGCGTTTCACACCAAACCACTCTGAACAACTTTGTTTACATCTTAACCGTTTAATTATGTCAAAATTTTGGAAATATTAGTGGGATTCTCCTTCAAAGGAGATGGTAGATTCAAATTACTGATGGCAGCTTAAATAGCGCAAGAAAAAAAAAGTGTACATATAACAAAGTATAAACTATTTCTAATCCTAAAGCCATTAGATGAATTAATAATAATAATAATAGACACCTTATCATTTTGTTCCACATATCTATTTACACTGTTAGATTATATTTATTCTATATTTTGTATATTTAGTCTATGAGTGTGTTTATACTTTTATAATTTTTATAGTTTTACCTTTAATTAAGCATCTACAGGCTTTTTCCAAACAACATCTCATTGTACTTGTACTTGTACAACAATAAAGATATCTTATTTTATCTGATCTTATCTTATCTTATTTTAATAATATCACAATTCTGACTCACTTTCTCCAGAACACAAATTAAACCAGTCTGAGTGATCTTACTGACTCAATTATGCAAAACAAATTTAAAATTCGGTGGAATTGCCCTTTAAGTGCACTTCAGGTTTTTGTCCCAGATTGTGAATGCCTCCACATTTCTGCCTCACTGAGCGTCTGACAGTCAAACCAATCAGCGCCTTGGTTACTGCCAGTCCAGCCAATCAGGTCGTGCGTCCTTCCAGCGTCACAGTGGCGGTAATGTTATGGAGTTCTCTCTCCCCTCAGTGCTACAGCTGCTAGCCGAAGGAAATGTGAGGCCTGTCGGAGAAAATTAGCGTTTATACGGCAAGAAAGCGTCGTCGGTCAAGAGGTGGACGAATAAACACTTTTTCTACCCCTGCATGAGATCCGGAGAGAGCGCTGAAAAATGGTGGTCCTCAAAATTAGAGACCAGGTGAGTGATGTGTAGCCGCGCAGCGCTAACGAGCTAGCGGTTAAACTGAGGAATCGCTCTTTTTCTGCGCGTTAACTCTTTAATTTGACGCCTAAAACTGTTCCAAATCGTGGGGTTGGACGATTCGGGTGCTTAGAAAAGTTTACAGAGAGCTCTGAAATCGCGAAACACGAGGTTGAAGTTTGTTCGCCATCGAATTTCCCGTTCCACCTTAAATAGTGCAGCAGCTACAGGCTGTCGCCTCAGGCGCCATAACGAAGCTACTGCGCCATTTAAGGTGGAACGGGGAGTTCGAGCGAGAAGCTGCTGTTAGCTTAGCTCGCTCATGTGGCTTCGTTGCAGTTAACGTTAGTTGTGGCGCAGGCCGTGATGTTGGCTGACATAACGTGCTGGAAAGTGCACAAATATCTACCTGTTTTAATTAATTTTATATTTCTCACTCTTAAATACACCTTTGCCACTTATTTGCGGGTAAATATGGTTAAAAAAGGCCAGTTCAGTGCGAATCAGTCGCGTAGCAGGATTAAACCAAGCTGTCAAAACAGCCTGACAGTCATGTTTGGCTACTAAACAGTCATTTTTCAGTGTTTAAAAACGATATAATTACACTTTTTTCCCTTCTGGCTGCCCTAAAAGCATATCTAGCAACTTTGCTTGGCGAACAACAGGTCCATTCAGTTTGGTTTAGTATAGTACAGTATAGGATAAGATATGTATCTATATATAATAAACTATAATATAAATATTGACTAAAGTGCATATAAAAGGTGGTGGCACTGTCAGGTTGAGAGAAACCACACATTATTGACTGACAGCAAAGAAACTAATCCGATTTCACGTTTTTTTGTGCCACAGCTCTTTTTGCTTAAAGGGGAACTCAACCAATTTTTCAAAATTTCTGGTTGAAAAATCATTGAGTTGTTTGGTGAGAAAGGCTCCGTTCTAGAGGAACTTACAGAGTCAGAATTGTTCACAGTGGTGATGATAGGAACCAGACGTCCACCTCTAAAAGCTCCCTCACAGAAAGTTACTACATGAAATGGTTATGAATTCACTGCCTGATGACTGAGACACTGTTTTATGATCTGTTTGTGGTGGAGGGATACATGAAGAGTGTCCTAGGGTAAAATAGTTCCCCCCAAAAAAACTTATCGTTGTAGATTTATCACTGTTTTACCATCATAAACATTCAATGTAAAAAAAAGAACCCGTGAAGAACCATCTTCATTTGTAGCCCTACAAAAATAAATGTTCCATTTTTATTATCGACACAAGTAGATCTTAAAATTTAAACTCCTGAAGAATCTGATATCGTTATCGGTCCAGAATTCCTGTATCGGTGCATCCCTGGTTATAAATCATTAACCATTCTCTTTACACACTTAAAAATATGGTTCTTCAAGGGTTCTTTAGTAAAGAATATGGTTCTATATAGAACCATGAACACTGAAAGAGCCCCTTTGCATGATTGAAGGGTTGCATCATGAAAGGGTTCTTAAGAATGTGCTATAGATGGTTCTATATAGAACCTTTTTGAAAAGGGTTCTATGTAGCCCCAAAAAGGGTTCTTCTGTTATTACAAGCTTGACACTGTAACAATAGAAGAACCTTTTTTTGCTATGTACATTTTTAAAAAAGATGGTTCTTCAAGGGTTCTTTAGCAAAGAAGATGGTTCTATATAGACCCATGAACACTCAAAGAACCCTTTGCATGATTGAAGGGTTGCATCATGAAAGGGTTCTTAAGAATGTGCTGTAGATGGTTCTCTATGTACAACCTTTTTGAAAAGGGTTCTTCTATTGTTACCAGCTTGACACTGTAGAAGAACAATCGAAGAGCCTTTTTGGGTGATATATATTGAACCCTTTTCAAAGAGGTTCTATATAGAACCATCTACAGTACATTCTTCGTCAGTCTAAAGAAAGATTTAGTCATGCAAAGGGTTCTTTGAGCGTTCATGGTTCTATACAGAGCCATTTTCTTTACTGAAGAACCCCTGAGGAACCATCTCTTTTTTTTAAGAGTGTGGAAACCTTTTCAGAAAGGTTCTATATAGAACCATTTACATCACATTCTCCATCAGTCTTACGAATCCTTTCAGGATGCAAAGAGCCTATTAATCCATATGTATTTAATCTATATATATACATAATGTATGTGTATATACTACTTATGACTTATGAAAATAGAATTTAAGGAAAGCGAAAATAAATGAATCTAGTTTATTTATGAAGTAGTACAAGAAAAATTAAATTAAAAATGAAAATTAAAAAACATTATACTTCTCAATAGATCACAGAAAATAGCTGCAGCCCTAAATTAATCAATAAACCAGCAACTAAACTGCTGCTGGTCCAGGTTTCAGCGTCAGGCTGGAGAAGAGCTCCAGCTGAGAGCGAACGCTCGTACCTGAAGGGTTCTGGGTCTGAAAAGACTCCATTAACGCAGGCCGATGAAACAGAGCGCCGTGTGGGCCGAGCCTGAATGAATGAGCCTTTCAATGGCTTTTCAAACCTTCTGATCGTCCTTCATCTCCATAGAGAAGAAAAACATCTCAGAGGAGCACCACGCCGTCACCACGGCAACGGCACTTACCTCAGCCCTACGCAGATATATAAACATTCACGCATGCTACGTATGTACATATAATGCTATAGTACATTTGGTTAAAATGATAAATATTCTGAATAGAAATCAATGCACTTTAGTTTGTGGTTGTATTTTAAAGTGGAATATCATTAATTTTTCAAACTTTGTATTTCATTAAGTGGTTGAGATGTAAACAGAGTCGTTCAGAGTGGTTTGGTGTGAAACGCTCCGTTCTAGAGAAGCTTGGTCAGAATTGTTTACGGTGGTGGTGATAGGAACCAGACGTCAGCATATTTTTTAATATCCACAGATGAGCTGAAATAGTCCTCAAATTAAAACGTATTCTTTTTGGAATTTCCACTGATTTACAAACATAAGTAGGTTCACTGGTGGTTTTGGATAGTAAATAAAATGTCTATGTTTGTGCTGTAGTCATGACAACCCCTGGTTCCTATCGTCACCACTCTACAACTCTACATTTCAGGACTGAGTCATTCAGAAATTTTGAAAGATTGGTGGAATTCCCCTTTAAAAGCATGTGTGTGTGTGTGTGTGTGTGCGTATATATATATATGTATATGTATATGTATGTATATATATATATATATATATATATATGTATATGTATATGTATGTATATGTATATGTATGTATATGTGTGTATGTGTATCTTGGTTCTGTAGTGGGTGGTACTGGGACTAAGAGATTGATTACAATTTAAGAGAGTGCTGCACTATTAAAAAATGGTTCTTCAAGGGTTCTTTAGTAAAGACAGTGGTTCTATATGGAACAAAGAACACACAAATGTGCGTGGTTGAAATGGTTCTTCAGATTGCTGCAAAATGTGTTGTATATGGTTCTATATACCCTATGTTAAAAGGGTTCTATGTAGCACCAAAAACAGCTCTTCCATTGTTACAATGTCAAGCAACCATTTCACCATGGAAAGACCCCACATAAAACCATTGTCTTACTCTGTTTTACTCTGACTGAATAGAATAGTGAGGTATAAACAATAATACAGTGATTTTTCTGTAAATCTTCTGTAAATTTGTAAATTTTCTGTGGAAAAACCGAACTGTCCTACCGTGAGCATCAGCGCCTGCTTTAGCTTCAGTGCTCAGTGTTAGCAGCGCTGCTCAGTGTCTCAGCATGTTTGCTCAGTACTCGGTTATTCTGAGAGAATCAGCTTTATTGATAACGGTCTGTAGACAGAGCGTCTGTAGAGGCTGCGTTTCACGTACCGAGCGTTTCGTCCAGTGTGAGTTTATAAATCGTAGCTTTGTCTGAACACGATGGTCTATTCAAACGTACAGTGAGAGTCACCAAAGAGCAAGATCTCTAAAATCACACAGTGTCTGAGGACATTCAGCTACAGCTCAACCAGCCAATCAAAAGACTCCAGACGTAAAACTGGAAGCGTGAGCTCCTCGGATGCGTCAGCCTCGGAAGTGATTCCTGCTGTCGCTGTGCTGCTGCTGAAAGAGACAGATGAGGATCAAAACTATGAAACCTACTTTACTTACAGCTGCACAGAAGAGCTTTTCTGAGCCGCTCTTCCCCACTGCAGGCCGAAACACTTCCATTTTTACGTCTGGAGTCTTTTGATAGGCTGGTTGAACTGTAGCTGAGTGTCCTCTAAAGCCAGACAGATAAGTGAAAAGACAGAATAATTTATGCGGAACGGCGCTATTTTTCCAGTTCCCGATCGTAGACGGGAACTGGAGTGGAATTTTTAGTCCTTAGTTCCAGATCTAGAGCCAACCGTTCTAGGGTAAAACCCACTTTAACACGTTATCTTTCCACAGCGAGTCACACCTGAGCGGAAGTTTCCAAGCTTTTATTCAGTTTCAAGCATTCAAGCCAAACTTAACCATCTCCATCTCCCTGTCTCTTTCTCTCGCAGAAACATTTTAACTCTTATTCTCCAGGGTTTCAGTTATTCCGTCTGAATTTACATGCCCAAATCGTGAAGCCAGTTATTCAGTAACTACATGGAATAAATGTAAAGTGTTGGTGTTTTTTTGTAAAGTTCCCCTCAAGTTAACAGAAAATATGTTTTATGATCTTAAACATAATTATATATGCGTACAATTTACTGCTGAAAGCTAAAAATCTTAGACGCTCTTCGCATTTTTTATAAAAATAAATTTAAATAAGAGCAGATCACTGAAGAGACGCCTTCTGAGATCCAGTTTGTAGCTCAGATTTGTGGAAAAATGGGTCGACTTTCAGTTTCTTTTATTACAGAGTTTTGAGATTACATTACTCGTCTATTTGACTGGAAAGAAGACAGTTACAGCTCTCATACGACCCCCACCTTTAGAATGAAGCTTGTGAAATATGAAAGTTATGAAGTAAAGAATATGACGAAGTGCGTTTTGGAGCCGCCGGTGGTTTCAATCAGTTA